TCTTTTGTATATTCCTGGTAAGACCGTTCCTGGAGAATGTGTTGACTGAGTCGCAGTCGGGCAGAGTCTCTGGTTGAATCTCTTGATTCCTCCCTCTCTTACCGGTACCAACCATATTTATATGGTCGGTACTCCACTATGCAAATTAGGTGGATCCTACCACAACAGAAATTAATCCTTTCTAGCACGTTCGAAATTTTGGTTAAAAATCTTGTTTTGTTTTTTTTAGGTCAGCGATAACGTAATGTAATATTTAGCATTAGTTTTTTTTTCGCGCATTTTTCGGTTGAAAAGATTACATATTATTTTACAGATAAAGTAAGTAATGTTGGTTTCGAATCAGATTAATTTAACTTTAAATTTGCTAATTTCACTCAAATAATGTATCACAAATATATATACAGTGTAACCCGGATATAAGAGAGTTGTCGGGACCGGAGAAGAAGTCTCTTATATCCGGGTTTCTCTTATATCCCGGTTTGGTCTATTTTATATACATTAACACAGGCTCTAATTTGGGACCAGAGAAAATCTCTCTTATATCCGGGTTTCTCTTACATCCGGGTTACACTGTATTATTTTTGGAAGATTTTTAAAACCGACAAATGTCCAACGTTTATGAAAGTTACATTTTACCTATGGAGCGCCGAAAAAGAGCCGGTCTTTTTTTTTAATAGAGTTGGAGGTGGAGTGGCTCCTTTTTGAAAACGGGGAGCATGAGGGGAGCCAGCTTGAATTTTGGGTATGGGAGCGGGAGTGAGTGCAGCTCCAAAAATAGCAGAGCGCGTAAAGCTCCGTATGATATATATATATATATATATATATATATATATATATATATACTATACTATATATATATATATATATATATATATATATATATATATATATATAGTCTTAAGGTGTGCTATATTTATGGGATAAAGTGCACAATATCAGAGATAGAGCGTGTGTAAATATAAAAGTGAACATTTTTATATATATATATATATATATAGTCTCTTAAGGTGTGCTATATTTATGGGATAAAGTGCTCAATATCAGAGACAGAGCGTGTGTAAATATAAAAGTGAAATTTATTTATATATATATATATATATATATATATAGTCTTAAGGTGTGCTATATTTATGGGATAAAGTGCTCAATATCAGAGATAGAGTGTGTAAATATAAAAGTGATCATTTATTATATATATATATATATATATATATATATATATATATATATATATATAGAGAGAGAGAGAGAGAGGTTACGATGAATAAATTTTCATCTAAATTACGCAAATATGAAAATAACACTGACATATCATTTTAACAGATATATTTGCCAAAATTATACAAAAAATATATTGAGATATTAAAGAGTAAATTCATTCAATAAAATCACCATTTGCTTCAACCACGGCCTCCAAACGATTTCGGAATCTCCTGCATCTTTTCTGGGCGGTCTCCTTATTTAAGTTGGTGAATGCAACCATAATCCTTGCATTCACTTCATCTTTGGTGTTACAAGGAGTTTTGTTGGTCTCTCGCTCAACTGTACCCACACATAAGAATCAAGGTGGTTGCAGTCTGGGAAGTTAGGTGGCTGGATGTAAGGAGTAATGTGGTCGCAGAAATAATAAGACATAACTGAATTCTCCGTCTAGTGTGGTGAATAGTCCTGCTGCCAGACATAGGGTCTTCGAGCTGCCATCTTCTTGGCTCAGGGAAGCACTACATGCTCAAGCCACTTGATGTAGGCCTCCGTGTTGAGTTTGAGCCCTTATGGGAAGATGAATGGAGGCATAATATCGCCATCACTAGTGATCACATCAAACACCTTCGTAATCACCATTAGAGTCATCCAACTCTTTCCGAATCACCTGCACTGATCTCAGATTGATACCAAAATACACTGAAATATTCATATTGAAGATTCCGATGCGAATGCCAAGCAGTACAGCATGCCTTTTTCAAATTCCTGGCGGAGTAAATTGCGTCATGTTGCTCTTTTTTCTCACAAACAGTGCCCAACTGGCCCTACTATACATCACATCGACAAAATTAAAGACAAACAATGCGCATGTGCTAAATGCAAAAAAATAAAATAGCGACAATTTATCCATCGCACCTTGTAGTATTGTTTTTATCATTAAAACGATAAAAAGCCATAATTGTCTGTAATTATCGCGACACTATCATTTGTACGAAAAATCTTACTTAATGTTAGTTTTGGGATCTAGCTTCATCAAAAAGCCTATTATATGATCAAAGCTCGTTCTCACATCCAAACAATAAAGGGTAAACATGGATAAACGTGTTCGCAATAAGACGGAACTGCAAAAAGACAGTTTTTCCCATGACACCGCTATTATTTTAACTACCTTCACTCCTCGGCAATGTTTTTTTTTTCATTTTGTTGATCATTAGAACCGTAATAAAAACAAAACATATGAGAATGAATTTATAGATTTTCTTTGTTTTTGAAAATTAACAACCAAAATAATAAATAC